CAGCCTCTCAAATACCTGGGACTATAGGCACCTGCCATGATGTCCAGCTAATTTTTCTGTTTTTAGTAGAGATGAGGTCTCACTCTTCTTTGGCTGGTCTTGAACTCCTAAGCTCAGATAATCCACCAGCCTTGGCCTCCCAGAGTGCTAGGATTACAGGCATGAGCCACTCCACCTGCCCAAGAAACTTCTTTTAAAAAGATACGTTCAGAGGACAGCACCTGTGGCTCAAAGGAGTAGGGTGCCAGCCCCATATACCAGAGGTGGTAGGTTCAAACCTGACCCTGGCCAAAAATTGCAAAAAAAAAAAAAAAAAAAAAAAGATAAATTCAGAGGTTGGAATTATCTTTTTTACCTTAAGTCTCTATTAATGATTACTGACTAAATTTAGAATTTCCATAAATTTGAAGAGAAAAGCATTGGGATTCAGTAACCTTTGAAAAGTTTAGGCAGTCCCCAAAGGGAAGATAGAGATTCTCAAATTAAGAGGAGGTGATTATTATTATTTTTTTTTTGGAGACAGTCTTACTTTGGCACCCTCAGGAGAGTGCATTGGCATCATAGCTCACAGCAACCTCAAACTCTTGGGCTCAAGCAATCCTCTTGCCTCAGCCTCCTGAGTAGCTAGGACTATGGGCACCTGCCACAATGCCCAGCTAGTTTTAGAGATGAGGTCTTGCTCTTGCTTAGGCTGGTCTTGAGCTCCTGAGCTCAGGCAATCCACCCACCTTGGCCTCCCAGAGTGCTAGGATTACAGGTGTGAGCCACCGCACCTGGCCTGATTTTTTTTCCTTAGCATTCTATAGAAGTTCAATAGTGAGTTTCATACATTCTCTTATAGGTACAGTTAGCGTCTTGGGCTCGGTCAGCACCCTTGAACCTTGTATGAACCAATCCATGCATATGAATCAGGGGTCAGATATTCCACTTGCATTTTCAGAATTACGAGGGAGAGTACTTCCCAGGGAGAGGATGGAGTCTCTTTGAAATTTGACCCTTTAAAAGTTGGGCTGCTGAACATTAATAAGAACAGAAAGTGCAGATCAATAAGACGCTGAAAATAAAACACACATTAGCATAGAGTATTCTCTCTATAATCAACATTAATGCCTTTTTAAACCAAACCCGAGTGAGAAGGTATATCTTT